CGAAACTTGGTGGTCATGGCCGCCTGAAAGGTGGCCGGGGCATTGGTGAGGCCAAAAGGCATAACTACCCACTCAAAATGCCCATATCGCGTCTTAAACACGGTTTTGTACCGATCTTGCGGGCGGATGGAAACCTGATGATAGCCCGACTTGAGGTCCAACTTCGAAAAATACTTAGCGCCGCCCAGACGCTCAAGCGAATCGTCAATGCGAGGTAGAGGCCCCGCGTTCTTGATGGTTTGCGCGTTGAGGCGTCGATAGTTAATACAAAGTTGAAGGTCCTTGTTCTTCTTCCGAACGAAGAGAACGGACGCACCGTAAGGTGAGCTGCTAGGGCGGATCCAACCCTTGTCAAGTAAATCGTCGAGTTGCGCACGGAGAACCGTGAGCTCCTCCTCGGACATGCGATAAATGCATCCCTTAGGTGGCACTGCGCCGGCCTCAAGTATGATCTCGTGAGAGATCAGCCGGTCCGGCACTATACCAGAGGGTGTCTCAAAAACATTTGAGAACTCGTCTGACAACTGGGTCACACGGGGGTCGGAGGACAAATCCGTGGACGATGAGTCGGTTGTAGGGACGGTTCGAAGAAACGCGATGCCAATCTCTTCGGTGTGCTCGAAACGACACGTGTCTCGAAAAGTTTTGGCACTCACGACTTGGCACCGAATGGAAGAGCGAGGAGGAGGAATAGTACACGGGACCTCGGCACCAGTGGCATCACGAATCGTGAGCGTGCGTCGATGGAAATTGACCGTGTGGTCCGCGCTAGAAAGCCAAGGCATCCCCAAAATGACATCGAAGTCGGTGTCCAACACGTCAAAAGTGACGGGTTCACATGCGTGCGGTGCAAAGTACACCGGGACAGCCGAGATGTAACGGTCTAAAAGTTGTTTCGTCTCTTATCGTCGGCAAGAGCGACCGTCGTCGGATGTGACTTCCTTCGTACTTGTGCGCCAAGGCCAGCCCGAGTCATGAAGGACTGGCTGATGAAGTTGCGAGATGCGCTGCAATCTAGCAAAGCGTTGCAGGCCGCTTGCCCAATTTGAATGCGGACGTAGAGCAACGGTGCGTTGTTTTCTTCATACCGTTGCGAGACAAACTCGCGGGCCACCTTGGCAACATAGCCAAGCATGTCCCCCACCGCGACTTCGTCTACCGTCGGCGAAGTTGGTGGTGCATGGAAGGAAAGATACTCGTGTAAGAGGGCGCATAGGGCTGCGCTTTGCGGCCCCGGAAGGTTGCCCGTCGTAGGGAGAGGAACCCAAGCGAAATCCTCGGGCGTGAGCGGGTCCAAGACCTCCTCGTTGAACACGCTTGCCGAATCCCTTGATGAAGACGAAGTGGCGGAAGAACCTTCGGACGGTAAGAAAGCCGCACATGTATCTTGTCCTTGAGAAGCGTCCATCGAAGGAACGAGCCGGGCAGCGAAGTCTTCGAACGAAAGTGGAAGACTTCCGACATCCGCATATGCCTCGGAAGAAAGGGCGGTCGCGCGCGCAACGGCTTCCGATGGCGTCGAGGGAGGTGTCGAGTCACCCTCGGCGGCGCCTACTTTCCGAACGGGGTTTCCCCTTGGTGGGGCAATGTGCAACATCGTGGATGGTGCTGTGGCACCAAAAACAATAACGGTACTTGAGTCTCGTGCGGTAGCAATTCGCCGAGAGTCCGTATTGGAGCCAAGGTTCGTCGGCTGCTGATCCGGTGCCCGGTGAAGAGGTGGACTGAGTCTTCGTCTTGTCGCGGTCGTGGTTGTTGCGCGGCCGGCCACCATCCCGGGCAGCTGCCAACATGTCACCCTCGTTTGGTGTCGCAGCCTCGGTAGAAGAAGTTGGCGAAGTCGCCGTAATGCAAGCCACCTTTGGCTTGGGCTGGCTGCTGCTCGATGTCTCGGAAGATCGACCGGCGTTGCGGGCTTCTACATTCGTGAGAATGATCCGTGACGCTCTGCTGAAAAGCTTGTCCGACGTGTCGAGTGTCTCTACGATCTGCATCAGCGCGTTTTGCAGGGCTGGGCACGAGCGCATGATGAACAAGTGTTTGACGCCGCGGAATGCGAGTGGCAGGTCGGGTGTGGAGGCGAGTCTTTGGAACTCGGTAATCCAGTCCTGACTGAGCAGCGTGTTCTGATGGAGCTTGTTGAGCTTCTCCATCGCTTGCAGGTCGGGCGGCTCCACTTGGAATCGCTTGTGCCAGGCGTCAGTCAGTTCCTGCCAAGTGAGCTTGGTGTGCAGTTCCGACACTGCTACACCGTGGCTGGTCAATATGTTGTCCAACCATGCTTGACATGCACCACCAGATCGGTGATACAAGCACGCATGTCGATCGTTGTTCAGGACGTGGTGCATGTCGAGCCTGAGAGTGAACTGGCGCCACCACGGGATCGGTTCCGTCTTGGACTGATCGCAGAAAACTGGAATGTCATCCAGTTTGGGTGGGCGTCGGGAGGATGCGGCCGCTGGCATCACGGTAGCAGCAGCCTGGACCTGCGTCTCCAACTGCAAGTTTGTTGCTTGCTGCGACGTCCGGAAGTCCTGATGCACACGCTTGATGTTGCTGACGTCATCCTCCAAAACTTGAACACGGGTGGCAAGGTTGGAAGGCCCTGGGACAGCTGCAGCGACTGGCTGTTTCTCCAACGCCTGCAGCCGTACAAGCATCTGGTCCACTGTCTGCTGCAGGTGAAGGATTTCCTCCTGCTGCAGAGCGCAGGTGGCCACGAGGTCGTGGGAGATCTGCGCAACGGCGGACAACCCTTTGTCAGTCTCCGACGCCTCGTCCCCAGATGCCATTTCCACTCAATGTGTGGTCTCATCACCGATCACGGTCTCCCGCGTGAACAGTCGTTCCCGCTGGCGTGACCGGTGTTCAGCTGCAGCCTGCAGGTCTGCCTCCTCTTGACGAAGTCGGTCCTGTTCCTCCTGCTGTCGCTTGGCCTCCTCTTCGTGCTCGATCCGGTTACGTTCCTTGGCCGCGGCGGCGGCCCTATCGTTGGCCTCCTGGATGAATGCAGCCAGGCGTTCCTCATAGGCCAGGAGGGATTCTCCCACCTTCTGGTCCATGGCCTTTGTCTGTGATCGAGTGAGCAGTGGCATGCACTGTCGTGCCCGAACTCTGAAGAGTCAACCGTGTGCCAAACAGATAGACTGGCCCAGTACCCGCACTGGAGGGGGAGGAACAGGTAGGCAGGCAGCACGCAAGTGGGAAAGATCGGACAGATCCTAAACTGGAACAGTCTCCTAACCAAAAAAGTAATTTTTTTTTTTTTAAAAAAATAAATCGAAAAATTCGAAAAAAAAGGACTGTCCAATCCCACGGAGTACCGAAGGTGATGCTGAAGGCAATGTGATCCTTCGGTGCTCGGACTGCAGATAATCAGAAAAAGAAGAATCTTTACAAACTCAGAGTAGGAGTAGGTTGCAAAAAGAAAAAAATGTCGTTTTTTTTTTTTTGAAAAAAAAAAACGGAATTTGCAGACCTACGCAGTGTAAATGTAGAGGGACAGTTTCGAAAGAATCGCGAAATTGTCAAAATGCAGACAATATTTAACAATTAAACAAAGGAAAAAATCTCTCGGAAATCTTTTTTTCTCGGAAAAGAAATAATTTATTAATTTCTCGGAAAAAAATAAATAATTAATTCCGGGAGATTTCCAAGATTAAATAAGAAATTGCCAAATAATCAATCAACTTAATTAATCAATCAATCAATCAATCAATCAATCAATCAATCAATCAATCTCAGATGATTGCTGGTTGATTGATTGATTGTTCGATCGATCTCCTGATTGACTGATCAATCAATCGAAGATTGATTGGTGGCAAATCTGCCAATCCAATCAATCAATTGATTGATTGGTTGTTGCCAGGATTCACTGCAACAGCTCCGATACCACTTGTAGCATATCAGGAAGTGAAATGCACCGAGAGCCTAGGATCTAGCAATGATGAAAGTGGCAACAACCAGCAGCATAGATGCAACATTCACAAGATGCCAACGTGCACAATGCAAAGAGTAAACCAACGAGAAATCAACAACAACACATTTGCATCATCATCATCCTGGGCTGGGAAGCAGCACAGCGGAAGTCTTAATAACCAAAGGACACGAGGACAGACAAACATGAAAGAGGGAAACTTTGGAAGGGCAAGACATCAGAAAGATTGCCCTTCCGCTCACACACATGGGGAGAGATCCATAGACATGTGAGAGAGATCTCCGAATGTCGTACACAAGTCCGATCTATATGTCGTGTCCTATAAGGCAGAATGTCGTGTCCAAACAATGTCTGCAGTTACCTCTATCTCTACTCTGAAGAAGAAGAAGAAGAAGAAGAAGAAGAAGAAGAAGAAGAAGAAGAATTCGGAGGAGTAGGAGAAGAAGAGGCGAGAAGAAGAAGAAGAAGGAGGAGGAGAGGAGGAGAGGAAGAAGAAGAAGAAGAAGAAGAAGAAGAAAGCTAGGCGCTTTCTGATCCTGGTTACCTGGGTGCTTGACTGCAGGTACTGCGGAGCCCAGCTATGGCGCTGGTAAGTCACGACAGGTAAGTCCCTCTTCTCTCTCTCTCTCTCTCTCTCTCTCTCTCTCTCTCTCTCTCTCTCTCTCTCTCTCTCTCTCTCTCTCTCTCGGCGCTGGACTCCTCCAGCGCTGTGTCACCTCGCTGAAGAACAGCGCAGCCGGTGGTCTCAAAATAGCGCAGCAGGTAGTCTCCAAAATAGCACAGCAGGCTGAATCCTGAACCAGCGTAACGCTGGGTTTCTCCTGGTGTCCTCTGTGTTCAGAACTGGGCGCTGGCCCAGCTTAAGTAGCGCTGGGCCGGACCCAGTGAGTCCACGGCCTCCGTTCTGGACCGTGCAGATCGAAATCCGATCCAYGGTCCAGATCGCAGGCTTCGGACTTGGTTCAGTCCTTGGCCTAAAACGGCCTGCCTGGGTCCCTACCGGACGTC